GCATCGTACTGCGGAGTCCCTTGGTCTCGCAGCTGTCCCCTGCGGAGCACTTGGTTTCGCAGAGCATCGTACTGCGGAGTCCCTTGGTGTCGCAGCTGTCCCCTGCGGAGCACTTGATTTCGCAGAGCATCGTACTGCGGAGTCCCTTGGTGTCGCAGCTGTCCCCTGCGGAGCACTTGATTTCGCAGAGCATCGTACTGCGGAGTCCCTTGGTCTCGCAGCTGTCCCCTGCGGAGCACTTGATTTCGCAGAGCATCGTACTGCGGAGTCCCTTGGTCTCGCAGCTGTCCCCTGCGGAGCACTTGATTTCGCAGAGCATCGTACTGCGGAGTCCCTTGGTGTCGCAGCTGTCCCCTGCGGAGAACTTGTTAACGCAGCGGTCTCCTGCGGGTCTCGATTGTCATCACAGCGTCCCCCTGCGGAGTTCACTTGGTAACGCAGCGCCCCCCTGCGAGGAACAGTTGATCACGCAGAGCCTATCCTGCGAGGAACAGTTGCTAACGCAGAGCCTATCCTGCGAGGCATATTGATAACGCAGACCTATCCTGCGGGGTAGTCTTGATCTCGCAGCACCCCCCTGCGAGGCATATTGATAACGCAGACCTATCCTGCGGGGTGGACTTGTTCTCGCAGCGCCCTCCTGCGAGGCATATTGATAACGCAGACCTATCCTGCGGGGTAGTCTTGTTCTCGCAGCGCCCTCCTGCGAGGCATATTGATGACGCAGACCTATCCTGCGAAGCATGTTTGATAACGCAGAGCTTGTACTGCGGAGCCGTGGCCATGGAGACTCTCAAGCCTGCAGACAAGAGATGGAACCATGACACACGGGAGTGTGAGGAGGAAAGTCCTGATTTGTTTTGGGCCGGAAATCTCGCGCCTTTTATGCCAAATCGGCTACGTCTCTTCACAGATACCCCCTGCGCAAATCCATAGGAACGGCCACTAATTTGCGAGGGCATTGGAAAGTTACTTCGAAATCTTTGGCCAGGAGACACACCTCCCATGGATCCGTGGATGGCCTCGCGTTGTCAGGGGGGACCGCCCCTTGGTTCCATCAAACCGATCATCTAGACTGTTCATTTTCTGCGGTGGGTTACATTGGCGACTGGGTACCAGAATTGATGCAATGGATTCCATGGATACGATCGCTGTGGCAATGAAATTGCGTTACATTGCAAGTTGCGACAGATGTATTACAATACAGCATTCAAAGAGGGCTAAACGCAATGGCCATGCAAGTGCAATCATGGGTACTATTGCCATTAGTGTCGCGCATCGATCAAGAACTTCTGCAGCGCACGTTGTCCTTGTTTTTGCCAGACTCTGAGAAACCAAACAGCGGTGTTCAGCAAGATGCACGAAGGACTGGACCTTAGACCAACCCACGTGCTATTTAAGGTTTAAGGTGCCGGCCGATCATTTCGATCTCGCCGTCCCACTTTCCACCTCTCATATGCACTTTCTTCCTGTTCACGCTTTGGCCATTGGTAAACTCCTGATGAGAAGGGAAACTTCTGATAAGGTCAATCAATTGCTACGAATACTACAAAGTATCGTCTTGCTCATCTCTGTAACCGACGCGCGTGGCAGGGCAAACTTGAGAGTTCAGGAGTAACTTTCCATTTACCCTGGTAAGTACCCGGGCAAGACTTTGGCTGATCTGCGGGCCCTGCTCCTACCGCTCAAACTTACCGGCCACGGACCCGCTGCGCTCCTATTTCTAACAACCTTGATTGGTCAGGTGTGTTGGGGTGAGTCATGGTGGACTGCGGACACCTCACCAATCAGACGCCATTCTGTTCTCAAGGAAGGCGTCGATCACTTTCTAGAATTGCCATGTGGCGCAAGACCCACTGTCGATGTAACATCCTGGACCAGGAGCCATGGAACTTCATCCTTGACCGGACTTACAAACTAGCTCTAGAAACTTGCCTTTTTCTAAAATTGATATTCATAGCGAGCTAGTGTACAAATGCTGCCCATAACATGTTCTCTGGAAGCGCATAGATAAGACACCCGATAGTTGGGAATAAAGTTACATCTCAAGAACATTCTCAATTGCTAATGTGTCATGGCCTGCCTGACCTAAATCTCTATCGCATAATTGCCCTTCGCACATGTTTGGAGCAGGGATGTGACTTGCATCGTGGTACGCGGGTTGAAGGAACCGAGTTTTGACGGTCGAAAATTGCCTCCTCACTCGACCCAACGGAGAGATTCCATCGACACCTTACATTGTTTGTTCAAACGAAGCCGAGTAACTCGATCAGCTCGGTATTGAAAGACTTCACGGCATGCGAAAGATTGGATTGACCCCTTGATCTCGATCGACCCTGACTTTGGACCGCGTGAGCAGACACTTGTGAATCTTGACGTTGTTGGGCTGATCGCAGGCGTGGAGCTTCGCAGCCAACATGAGGGGTGTCTCTCCCCGATGATCAAGACAATCGACATCAATCAGCTCCTCTCTTGCAAGGCTTGCAACAGCATGAAGGTCTCCGTAGATCACGGCCAGATGCAGGAGTGTTTGGCCGCGGTGATCCTTCTGGTTGATTTTGGCCCAACGATCACGCAAGAGGATTTTCAAAATCTCATGCTGTTGACATTCTCAAATCATCAGAAGTGGCTGCTGGACCTTTCGATTGGGGCTGTAGAACTCGATATCTTTGCGGCGGAGCAGCTGTTGTACGATTGAAACACTGCTCTGCGTGATTGCCATCGACAGTGCAGTCTGACCGTAGGCATTGCATTGAGAAGTACGAAGATCACCATACTTCAACAGGAGATCGACAGCTGCGTGATCCCCTGCTTGCACGGCAAGCATCAAGGGCGTGTGTCTTCCATGTATCTCGTTGATATTCATCATGCACGTGCAGAGGTACTTTTGAAGCGCATCAGGCCTGGAGAATTTTTGCTCCAGTGGAGAGCTAGGGTTGAATGGAGCGGGCGACATGGTGGTGGTGAAGATGGATGTATTGGATGAGATCTGAGAAATGAGGTATTGTAAGATAGACAAAGGTGAAATGAAGATCTGGATGGTGGTTTATATATGCTGGCAAGGACATCCACCAGGTTGTTAGAGAGCAGTCGATATGTTCCCGCCTAGTTGACTGCATTCTTGAATAGATATGTCGACTTGGGATGCGTAGAATGAACGCTGTTTTCTGCATCGTTCGATAAATTCCACCTAGAATTCCGATGGTGCCCTATAGAAATAAGCACGACGATAATAGGTGGCTAAGAGCATAGTATGTATGGGTGCAAGAAGGTAATCCTTTAAAAGCATCGACCCGGTCCCAGGATCTGGCCTTAAGCTTCGAAAGCCACTTATGACATCATCTGAGATCTGAGACTATGGTCCCAGAAGGAAGATGCTCTGCCAGCCCTTGCCTCGATTGGGGTGGTACTGGTTGGGTTCCAGAGACTAGGTCATTACTGACTTGCGGCAAAGAATCCCGCACACATTCCGAATATTTTCATGACCGAAAATGTCGACACAGAGTGTGTTCTCCACGGATCATGTGGACTCTGAGGACGCCTTGTCTGCAAGTACGAGAAGAGGAGAATCATCGTCAAACGACACAATTCCAGTAGCCAGAGATCTTGAAAATCTGATGGGCTTGCTTGTATTCATTCCTGACCCAAATAACCCGAAGCATGCGTAAAATTAACACTCTGTTGGATCGTCATAAGCCATCCCTTTCTTGTCGAATCCCAGACTGAACTTTCGAGAAGGATTCAAAAGTGAGGCCGATCCCGAAATCTCGGCGGCCAAAACAAGATTCTTTCATTGCCAATACTACCAAAGTGAGGCATAGTCCAGCACCAAAACAATCTATTGTGAATCATTATCTTCTCCTTCTTTTTTCGATATTCGGCCCATCTGGAATCCATTCGTAGCAGCTAATACCAAATTTGGCTGACCATTTTCTGACTGCAGTCACTTTTCAGCTAACATCTAGCCTTGAGTGTGGAGTATATAAATCATCGGAAAATGGCATTCTGTCCATGGCACCTACCAACATTTTCCTCTTCAGTCAAAGAGTCTCCGAGCCTCAATCACATCCAAGAGTCATTTAATCTCCTTGAAATGGCTCCAAGAACTCGCTCGTCCAAGCACCAAGAAGACAGGAGCGATCCTGAGCGGGCGACTCTTCTGGGAAATACTTGCGACTCTCCAAAGAGGACGGTTTCCCCTAGGCCACGGCGAGATGCTTCCGGTGTTTCCCGACGGATCAAGATCCGGGACGCAGCAAAGATGACTATTCGTATGCGGATTCGGAGCCAGGCCCGCGGGCAGCAATTTTCGCTCCTAGTCGGACGGCCGGACATTGACCGAAATGGTCCCACCAAGAACGATCGACCGAAAGAAGAGACGCTCACGCCGGAAGCACTGAGATCAGATTGGATGCGCAGACTCCGCCCCAAACCGCATCGTCGCGTCTAGTCACTGGCAAGAGGAGATCAAATGGGAGAGATGACGGGAAATACAGCCGGGAATAGCGAAGACCGTATACTTTTCTCCTTTGCCGCAATCTATGTGTAATGTTTTTGCAGTGACTTTTTATCATAGAAGTCTTATCAATGAATATGGAAAGGATATCTAGATGCGTATGGAAATCATAAATAAAATACTTCAACAAACAAAGTCTCTTGATACTAGATGTCTCCCCTACATATGCATCCAGCATTCCCAAATAGATCCAAAGAAGAGGAAAAGAGAACAAATTGAGCTGATTTGATTTCAACTTTTTGATATCCACTGTCGAAGACCATGAAGATGGTAGATTTACAATGATTTGTGACCACCCAACCGCATTCCTCTTATAGAGGTCTAAGTCTTCTCGCAACCTCGAAGGGCCCCTATCTTAATCAAAATCTTTCCCAAGCCCACCTCTAAGGAGACTGCATCTCCAGGTAAAGAACTGTATGAGCCGTGCCGCTCACACGACGAATCTATCGAGTGATGCCCAGATAAAAACGGTGATCAGCTGAGTCTATCTCTTGTCAGCTTCACAGCCATCTACAGAGACCGGTGAACTTGCCTCAAGTGCGATAATCCACGATACGCGCAGAATGCCGACAATTGCAACGATCAGTAATATCATAGTCAGGACCGCCAAGTAATACCAAGTCCGCCTGAAGGTGGTTTGGCGTTCGGTCTCGTGCTGCAGGCGCCACCAATACCACATCGCCGCTGCAAAATAATCCACACAGAGGATGAAAAGACCGCCTGGGTGAACAGATTCTTTAACGAATGCTCCCACAAGAGCGACTGCCAGTGTGGCCACGGTAGAGAATATAACAAGCGTTCGGGTAAGGATAAGGAGCATTCGCGGTGCCCTTTCATATTGGCGCTGCTGAGAGTTGATTCGAAGGAACTGTAACCCATTAGCTCTGAAGGCATTTCCAAGATTCATGCAACACGTACTACTTGAAGTGGAGGCAGTATAATTGAAAACCAAAGCAGGATTCGACTCCACACCGGAGATCGATCGCTCCAGAAGAGGCCTAATAGAACAGCAAAGAGGATGCAGGACGTCGTACCCACCGCATAGTCAATCTTGTAGGCGGGCCACTTGGATCCAAAATGATACAAAACAAGTAATCTGATGAGACTGAGGAGGAGAATCACCGCCATCAAAACAGTAGGGACATTCTGTTTGAAAATCATTCTCACGGTTCCGGACGATAATGAATCTTGATTATCTCCCGGCACGCGGCAGCCTTTATGTAGCTGAGAGATGGACACACGGATCCTGATTCATCATAGCTCCAGAAAGTTGACTTTGGACTTTTCATGAGGCTTTCTAGCTTCTCTATGTGCCTCTACATCAACACATAGAATGTAGAACAACAATAGCACCTGATAGGCGGCCTTCGAAAACATACAGGCACAGTTTATTGACCGTAGCGGCGCAGCGGAGTTCAAAAAGTGTTGTCGAAAGGAAACACTTTTTGACATCCCAATGCCACATATTCTGAGCCGAAAACAAAGACAGGAGTTGATCGGAATCTGAAGACAAGACGAGAGAGAACAAGCTTGTGCTACAGAGTGCATGAAAAACTGATAGTGCGCAAATTGAAGCCATTTGATCGGCGACACAGGGTTGATCAAAAAGAGCAGAGTATTAAATTGACTACTGTATGATGAATCTGTAAGATCAGATTCCATTCGCAAACGATGAGAATGGATCTTTTTGAAATTCTGCGCAGTTGCTGTCTCGGCACCAGAGTTTCTGTGCAAAAGCAAAATCAAAGTCTAGTGCACGCCCAGTAGAACCGTTGTAAGAAATTTAAAGTACTGTATTGTCTCAACGGTTGCAAGGGACATGTCTAGTGTTTCACATAGCTCCTGATACCCACGCGATCTACATGTCAAAGGCGCAACGCGGATCGACCAGGTAGACTCAAATGTCGACCCTTTCCAGTATTAGGGACTACGTTGATTCAGTACTATGTATGCTCCTTTACCGCGCCTTCACGATAAGTCGAAAAGTAGGACGGATTGAATTGAATTGATGACCAAGGAAATGAATGTAGATACAGCATACGAAACTTCCCCAAAATCGTGGTGGCGATCCTCTTCTGCACTCGCAAAGAAAGCTCGAGAGAAGAGGAATTGTTGTAAGGACTTTTCCGACATCCGAAACAGTCGGTCCCAAACACGTAGATCAAGGCATGCGAGCAACTGCAGCCTGCAACACTGCCTTCGAATAGGCCACGAGACTATACGTCAACATCATGTACATCACGTGAAGACTGAATTTCCAGAGTCTGACAAAGCCGATGCGCTCCAGTGGCTGAAGCAAGTACAACGCGAAAGACAATGAACCGACGACGACCAACCGACCAAAAGCAATCGCCAATGGTGAGGCACCAGTCACTGGCTCAGCCAGGCCATGGATCATCGGCGTCAAAGACAACATAATCACCGATGCCAATTGAACAAAAGATGTGTCTGGGCATTTTTGGTTGTTCACATCACATAGGAGCTTTGGCGGTAGGTTTCCAATGGCGATGACCACCAACGCTGATGTATATCCGAGTTGAAGCCACAGCTGACTCGGGAAAAGAAAGACAACGGTCGGGATTGCCGTTGTACAATTCAAAAACAAAGCTCCAGCTTGCAACTTCAGCTGATTCGCAGTGGAACTTTCGTCGGAGGCGCGAAAAATCTGATGGAGGAAAACACCCAGGTACCAAAACATGACACCCACACTGAACGCAATCACCGCAAGGCCTTCTGGAATATCCTCTGGGAGTGAAGGGAAGTGGAACAGAAGAAACTGCAGCGTATAGAATAAGAAGTAAGAGAGACCAAACCCGCTGATGACGGCAGCGAGCGCGCGATCGGGCAGGTCTTGGGGTGGGATTGCATTCATTGTGAGATTGGAGTGTGAGATTGAAGTAGGAAGTCTGTTCTAGAGTGACTGGTGCATCGCTGGATTTATAGACAAGAAATGCAGCATACTGGTGACCCTGTCTTCAAGGAAGTCTGATTGCAAATTGTGTTATGCAGTTGAAAAGGTCCCAAACGGAAAGTCGAAATTTCTACATCACTTGAGCGGATAAATTAAGTGAGGCCCTCAAGGCTACTCGATCACCGTTCAAAGACCTTCGAAACGGAGTGGTGAAACTGTAAATCACTCGAGCAGACAATTTAAAGCGATATACTCAAGGCTACTCGATCATCAGTTGAAGAGTCTCGAATCACCAGTCTCGGGTATCTTAGACCCTTTCGCACCTCGCCAGTTCTCATGAAAATAACGATCGTTTTTTTATCTGACTATTCGAGTCAGTGGAAGGGGGGGTTTATCTCACGGCGCCGAAAGAGCTTCCAGATTCCGCCGCATACCAAAATGAACGGGATCGAGCACATTGTCCGTGAACTTGGTCGGCAGCGGGCACGAAATGCATACTACCGAGATTGTTATGCCCTGTTCAAACTATTGCAAGACCTCACGGAACAGACGTCCCACGAACTACAGAGCATCTACACATCAGATGGCAGCCGTCCGGCCTACGCCGTCCACCGAATCGTGTGGAAACTTCAAAACTAAGTGTCTAGTTTGATTGAACAGGCATGCGAAGCGCAAGCCACGTGTGAAGAGCTGTGTCCGGTTGACCGCATCTTCTCCGCTCGGGAAGTGTTGGAACCTATCAGACGACTGTACAACGATGCAAATGCAGCTGCGCTTGGTAGACATGCGATCAGAGATAAAAAAGACCAAGTCGGAGCTCGGCTGACTGAAGCTAGCAAGAGTGACGGAGGGTAGTTTGGGAAGTTCGATTCAAGTTATCTTGTGATTCTGTCAATTTGTGATTCTGTCTTGCCTCGTTACTAGTGGAACGGCCAAAGGCTACGCCTGTCAGATAATCCTGAATATTATGAGTAACGCTTCCAGATCCAAATCAGTTAAGACGCAATATCAGAGGCTTAGCATCGACAACTTCTATTACACCCATTAACTGCGAGAGCAAACACCAAAGGGCCACAGCACGCGTCGAAACCCTCTTACCTGGGTCGCAACCCACGAGACGACACCAGGATAATAATCAAATACAGCAACAAAAGGGCTGGATGAGCCATATGAAGAACGCACCAACGGAACAGGATGTGGCTAGCCATATTAGCGTGAGCATTGATCCACCCAAGCCAGCCTGGACCCCGAATGGGTGCAAACTTGTCTTAATTCCCGCGGTGAAAAGACTGTACATCACGGTGACTCCGACCGTGGCGAGAGCGATCAGCAATGCCGAAACCTAGTTATGTCAGAGAAACGTCATGAAAGCTGTTCCGGTGTCACTTACTATGCAAAACAGCGCAAGGAGTCTGTTTCCCCGAGCCAGAAGGGTCCTCTGAGCCCCAAGAATCACGACCAAGACGGTGGAGACGAACCCAGAGATGTAAAGGCTGATAATGCCATGCGAAAGCTTTCGATAGCCCGAGATGGCCTTTGCATCCACCTTTGGCAGCACTTTGTCGACATCGACGGGCGTAGAGTCCAGCACGGCAGACAGATCAAAGGCGAAGGATGTGCGAGGCTCCGAGCACACGGCCTTGGAGCCATCGCGGGACTTGCAGTAGCCCCAGAGCCCAATGTAGTAGTACTGGAACAGATGTGATTTCAACTCTGTCAGTTGAGCATGGATCGCTCCTTGAGCAGCTGAAGTGGCCGCCGCGGATGCATCTGCCGCGCCAGCATACACGCTGGATGCCGTGTCGGTGAAGCTGTTGCCAGCTCCTTCGCTGATATCTGGCGGATGGAAACTGGGAAGGATGGGAGAATCGCGGGTGACCAGATGGTCGAATCGTGGAAACTCGGACAGATCGATCTACTTCATGTTTAGCCAAAGATCCATGCTATTTAGAGTGCAAGAATATCTCACTTTCATAAAGTACAGCCCTTTCGGCGCAGATGGTGAAGTGCAGCCGACAAAGGCAATGGACAGACAGACAAGGACCACCACTGATAGAGACAAGGCGATGGCTGAGATAATCTGGTCCAATCTGCTTCCCCCGGGGAGCTTCATGATGGCTACAAGAGAATTTGAAGCAAGCAGACTAGTAGGGTAGAAAAGCTGCAAGTGAGAGAATTGAAGACTTTTCAAGGCTTAATAAATCGTGCAGTGGGCGTTCATGTTAAGTAACAGAAAGAGAGGCGGTTGATGTCCTGAAGCCGATGCCTTGTGAATGTGAATTTGCGACCTCATTTTGTGTCTTTGCTGATTTGTCTGACGGTTCAATTTCTTGCGACAGCTGATGCGATTCAAGTGCTCACTTCTCAAGCTAGGCACTTACTCTGACCTATTGACCTCAATTAGTAGACATAATTTTGTGGAGCAACAGTACGGCGAGGCATGATTTGAGCCATCTGGAATGAGATATCCCTCAATTATTCATGTCAGTGACAAGTCCTGGACTTGGTATAAAGTCGCCTCGCAGCGATGCTCCCTCCAAGTGCATCTTGCAAAGACAATTTGTGCCTATCATGGCCCCTACAAGACAGTCAGAATTGGCAGATCTGGAGCGCAAGTTGTTCTCGTACCATCAAAGTCACTTCCAGTTATCTGCCAGGGTGCACCTCTCCCACCTGACATTCGAAAAAGGGTTTCGCGCATGGATGGATGACCGTGACAATGTCCAGCGCCTGGAGAAAACCCTGAAAATTCAAGGCTGTCGCCGGCTCATGGGAGACAACCATGTGCCCGTAGTTGTGCCTCGATCTGACTGGGAGCGTCGTGTGAGTCCGCGCTACGGCAATGGCATTATGCCGAGCTTGAATGTAGACCTGGACTACCGACTGCACGCGTTGGATCACGAGAATCTGATCGCAGCAGCCCGGAAGAAGCTCGATCCGGAAGACCAGTGGTGGATTGTGGACGTCTATGTGACTGACGATGAAGGTACGTTGACTGACCACAAGGTCTACCCCACGAGCTCTTTTCGATGCGGCTGACCTGATACCGTCTTAGAGGGTCAAGATCTTGACAGAGACGTGTTACAGAGAAAGTTCGTTCAACTCTTAAAAGAAAGATACCCGAACGACAACCGACCGCCCGACGGGCTGATTTACGAGCGAATCAACTACTACGAAGGGTACCTGGATGGACCCGAGGACCGATTGGCTGCCAACAACTGGTGGGTCATTTTGCAGGCAGTGGCGGGCAGCAAAAAAGGTGGATATCTGCGGCGATTCTTCAAGAATGCGGCCCTCCATCGAAAGTTGAACTCCTTGCTGGTCATCCGGGGACTCTGGGAAGGCATGCGGATTGGACTGCTACATAAAGTGACCGCCATGCACTGCGATGAGGTGCGTCAATATTCTGTCACCCTGAAATGAATGGGCAGATCCTGACTAACTTGGATGCCGCATGTAGCCAATGATCTGCTACTGGGACCTGATCTTCCAGACATTCCTGACACTGGTCGGGGGAAGGACTGATCTGCTACCTCTGATAGACGGGCGTACCGTTGGTTTGATACAAGCTCGTGCGCCAAAGCTCTCCACAAATGACCTACAGTTCCTGCAACTCCAAATGGACGAGGGAAAGCTCTTTGCAGAGTTTGAGGAAGGACAGCGAAAGGACATCTGGGAGCGATTGAAAGGAATCGATTATCCAATTCCAACGCTGAAGACGTTTTTCAAGGATCGCCTCTACTTGGAAGTCGCGCAAAGTGTCATGAAGCGTCTTTTCATCCAACCGCGGGACGAGAAGTTCACCATTGACACAGGGGTGTACAGTATCTTCGACACTGCCTTGCCCATTTCGATGTCGATGAGGAAGGAACGTCTGCGGTCAGATGTTCTGGAATTCTGGCGATTCAGTTTCCAGTATGGATTTGAGTTGACCGATCATCAGCGCCGAAAATGTCTCAAGAGCCCTGGCAATGAGCATACGCCGGACCAAGACACGGATCAAGCTTTTCCGCTCCGCCGATCAGACATGTGGCGGCATTTCTGTGGTATCCTGAGAGCCCGGGGATTTCAACCGCCCGGCAGCATGACGCAATCGTCGCCCGTGATTGAGCTACCGCCTTTGGTACCTTGCGACTACCCAGAGGATCCTTCGCAGGAGATGGATGCGGCCAAGAGATGCGGAAAGCCCTTTGTCGATACGCGGCAGGCAGATTGGTTTGCCCTGTCGGCCGAATCGTTACGGCAGCCTGAATCAGCGACGCGAGTATCGGCAGGGTTCCTCCGCCGTTGGGTCTTCAGAGCTTTCTTTGGGTATCTGATGGACCATGAGGGGAGCGATACATCCGTGCGTCGCGGTAATGATGCAGACCAAGCGATACTGGACGATCCCACCTTCGTCGCCGAAGGACCCGCCGGCCAAGGACCCATCGCCCAAGGACACCCTCCGACCGCCCAGACAGCGGCAGAAGCTTCCCGCAACCTGCCGACGCGTGCATCTACTACCATGGCTGATCCGTTTGCTCCCTTGATTCCAGACTCAGCAAACAGCTTGCAGCGCCTTGGATATACCATGCACATCACGATTGGGCAAAACAGACAGACTGTGTATTTGCCAATCGATGAGCACTTCATAACCCAATTCTGCGAAGGGCTTCGGCAGCACAACTTCCAGGTCTTCGTTTTCGACGTCACTCCTGGGACTGGTGACGAAGTCCTCACTGGGATGACCGGTCGTGTTATTGTCGAAGGAGTCTATTCCCACTATATGGACTTTCCTGCCTCGGAGCTTCATGCAGAATTCAATGCACAATTCAGTGCAAATGGCCTATCTAGGAAAAGAAAACAAATCGGCGGGGAAACCCTGACGCAAGCGGCAATTAGTTGGTTGGAAAAACAAAAAGCAGAAATGACGTCACAATTCATGGATGTCGGCGCGTAGGGACATTTCAGAGGTTTTCTGACAGGCGTAGAGCAATGGAATAATCATACGTTGTCTTGATTTTGATCCTTTCCGGTTTTGGGCAATGAAAATGAAAACCGTGATTCTTTACATATTTAGGACACCTTGACATAAGAAAATCTCCCCAGATGTCGACACAGTGATGCACTCTCATTTGAGAGGCAGCTGGTACAGACCCCATAGCCTCAAACCAAGCAGCGCACACACCGATTGAACAAAATCCTCGGCCATAGTATTTCAAACTTAGCGATCCAAATTCACTGAAAAGCAATGGAAATGTATATCTTCAAGGACTCATTGGAAACTTGCAGAGTACTGTGACTACACATAAATCGATTTGATTGTCTATTTACGAGTGGAGATTGAGTACAAACCGAGTGGTGAAGCATGTAATCTCCCTAGATTCACATCGGAAAGATAACAGGAAGTGATCAAGCAGCACAGTGTTGTGCTATCAGAGTCGCCACTCTCCAAAAGTCTACTGTTGCTGTCTCGGTAGACTTTTCGGAAAGTTTCACGGCAAGCCATCTAAGCGCAAAAATTCGCAAAGAATCTTTTTGCGCCCAAGAATTCTTTTGCTCCGTCGAGATTGCTCGCATCTTGCATGCGATCTGTGGCTTGGTGTTTGGGACTGTCCCCGGCTTCTGCAAGAGCGGATCCGCGCTCAGAAGCATACGGGAAAGCTGACGGGAGCCACTGTGAAGGAACTGGCACGCTCGTTTCAATCTTGGCCCATTTTTCTTCTTCAAACCTTGCAGTCTCGTCCAGATAGGGGCCATGTCTGCTGGTTTCTCATTTGGTGAGATCAAGCCCTTGTCTTCCGCGTCTCTCTGCCAGTTCGCGACTTGTTGTCGGGCAAGCAGTTTCCACCGCAGATCCTGCCGTGCCATCTGGTGATTCGATGAGCGAAAGTGGTGAGGGGCGGAACTGCTGGTTTTCATTTGGCCGGGCAGAAGTGAGTGCTCTGTATCATCTCCAGGTGTGTTGAAAGGCGACTCGGGCTTGTTGTACAGGAGCAAGAAGAGGACAACTAGGATACAGATGGGCAACTCATCTGGCTGAGGAGTTTGGCTATCAGGCGAATTTCTTCTGTGAGGTGTCATAGCGGGCTCGAAATTTACAGAGACAGGCATGGCCTCTCTGAAAGAATCAAATTCGATCCTTGGGATGAAGATAGAAGATAAGGGGTGCAGGTGCCGGTGGAGCAGCGAGGGACGGGATTCTTAAATATCATGGCCCGGAATCAGATGAATGAGTCGAAGTTTGAGGAGCGGATCAAAATATGCTTCATTGAAACCCCACATTTGGAAGCAATGTTCAATTCGGACTTGATGATGTGATCAGCAAAAATCGGACAAAGTCAGTTTTCTGATCCAAGTGCACAGAACATCATCCCACAAGTACAATACCATATTCATGAGGCGACAAGAGAGCTGCCTGTAATGAAAAAGTTTTAATTTGGGGCCACATCATCAGATAGACAGGTTTATACTCTAAATGATAGCTCTCGATCTACTTGTAGTCATGCGATAAAGCCAGAATAAATTCCCAAGCGGTTCAACGCGATATGCATGCCTTTTTGGCTGGCTTTTGATAGTCAATTCAGCGCGTATCTTCAGAGTCAGCGGAGAAATGTGAAATTCCAGCAGTATTGCAAGGGACTGCAGGGCTCTGCCTGATACGCGGATCAGTCATCGATGATGGCCGACAATGCATTGGTGATTCCTGCTCGCTTCTGTGGAATGACCGGAGAATGAGCCGGTGCAAAAGAAGCATGCAGACAAAGACCAGAGAACCTCCAAGTACACTGCCAAGCACCAACGCCATACCTCGTTGGGAAATCCGTCTTGAAAACTCGGTGCCATCCATGATGGCGCCATGCGTTCCAGGGGCCGGAGTTCTTGCAGTGGTTGATGAACTCGGGGTCCAAGTCCCGGTCTCCGTGTATGTATTGAGTAGCGTCAGCCCTTTGGGTTTAGCGGTCATATATGTTTTACCACTCCCAGTCTCATGAGAGACGCTTGTGTATGATGGCGATGGCAAAGGTTGAGTGGTGGAGTTATTGACACCCACACTGTTCCTGGCTCCCATGGGCTCCTCATTGCGGGTAGAAACTCGGCTGCTTGTAGTTTTTGAGTCAGCCAGAGAGAACGGAGAGAGCCTGGGAGTATCGCGAGATGTTGAGGTTGATAAGGTCTCTGCGGCTTCTTCATTGGCATTTACCGTTTCGACTGGGAAGGAGGTGCCCTGGCTAACAGTAACCAATGGCCACGATGCAAAGCTCATCGTTACAGCGACATGGCTCGAAATATTAGCAACATCATCGCGAGAGTCACTGCTTGCCTCATGAGGCGTACTCGTGATTTTAACTTCCAGTGAAGCCATGGCAGAAGTGTCTTCTACTGGGGCGCCCACCTCTGTCAAGCTCTGGAAATAATCAAGCGAAGAGGATGGAAGCTGTGGATTGACATCCGAGAGCGTAAAGTCTTTTCTGATCGATGTAGAATACGGCTCAAAAACAGGCCAGGGGGTCAATTGCGATGCATCTCCAGGTGACGAGACTTCTTGAGTGATATCGACAATGACGACTGTCGGCTGGCGGGTGTCAGCGGACTCATTGTATCTGATAGAGCTTCTCATACGAGAGCATTGTATGCTGGAGCTCTTCGTACACATACTGTATCAGCGGTACAATTGCGGAGCTGTACACTTTACTTTGGGAGGTATCAATAGCAAGCTATGGGGATGACAACTAGAAGCCAGCGGGTAGGGCTGAACCCTCAGCTTCCAGACTCCCCAGCACGTCGCCCATCTCCCGTCCCCGAAGCCGCAAACCCCGCAATCTCACCCGAATACCCCAACGTTGAGGACTTTTTTCTCGCCGAGGATGATTCTTATGATGAGGACGATTCTCACTTCGAGGATGAATCTCACGATGAGGATTACTTTCTCGTCTCAATAGCCTTCGACTACTCCACCATCACAGCCAGAGCTCGTTCGTTCCAAGGAATAGTGCTTGCTGGGGCCACTCCGCTCCAACTGGCCCAGAATGGCTTCTATTACCGACCTTCAGGAGTCAGCAATATGGCATGCTGTTTTGCCTGCCAATCGACCAAGCACTTATCCACCTTCCAATCCACCCCTTTCGAGGAAGTGCAACAACTACACGAGGAAGACTGCGTATGGCAGATAATCTCGTGCGATTTAAAACACCACCTCGGAACTCCCAACAAACCCCCCTCCTCAACCACCGCATTCTCCTCCTCTAAACGGTCGACTCCTACCGCCGATTCTAGTACACAAACTACAGACTCTAGTACAAAGTCTCAAACTCAATCTGCGCCGATCACATCCACTACAGCGAAGGAACGGTTAAACAACAACCTAGACTGCCATTCTAATCCGCTACCCGCCACAATAGACCTAGAGCCTCAACAACCTCCAACAGCCCACTCTCCCCAGCTTCATCAAACGATACCTTCTATCACCTCCTCGCCCCAAAACCAACAAACAACCTATGCTTCCGTCCTCCAGCGACCTATCACATCCATACCGCAACCGACTCCTTCAGTGCAAGAACCTTTTCTTCCGGCCAACCCCATACTCACAATTGAAGATCTTCATCTTCGGTTTCATAACAAACCGTCACCGTTCCAGCTCGAGAACAAGACAAGCCAACGCCCACCCAAACGAACTCGGAACAAGTCCGCATCTATCACACATTCACTGTCCAGATTCTTAGCTTCTGCTTTGCCCGCGTTCTCACGGTTCCTGTATGAGATGCAGCCAAAATCGGATACGTCGTATCCGTCTCATTCGCAATTCCACTATAGCCGCGCCATGAGGGCAGCCTAACAACAGGAGCGGCAAATGGCCACGATAGGCCGTGACGAGGCTCTAAGTTACTGTCAGAAAGTGGATCACTCTATATGTACATACTCGGATACATAGTCGTCGTATACTGCATATCGCTTTGCGAGGGGTCAGTGTAAATGAATACTACTACTACTACTACTACTCCTGTATCAGCAAGCATATCTGGCAAAGGATATATCGGGGGACAAACGTTATAGACACACATGGTTTGGTTGGTGGAGTGAGGACAGGCATGCATGGGAAGCATCTCAAGAAGTAGGCTGTCTGTACAAAATTGGAGGGTTTGACGTGTATCACAAACTTCCGGATCTGAACTCCAAGCACGTTAATATTATAAAAAAGTGAGCTCAACACCGTGAAAATCTCAGAAAGTGATGCTTGAAATTTTGCCAATGACTCAAGTATGCCGGTGTACCACGGGCCCCTTCGGATACAGCCGACCTTATATATCTGCGGTCGCAGAATACGGTCAAGCAACTTTCACAAACCTGAGGCGACCGTTGAGCCAGTCTTTCCTGCGTGCATCCCATTACATACAAAGAGAGCGACGCCCGGTGCCAACAGTATCTGCAAAATACTCTATCCAATCTACCAATGGCTCAACCTCTGAGTCGTGTCAAGCGAGAGCAACTTCGCAAACGCCGTAATAATCTACTGCGTCGGCACAATGAATTCTGGCTGCTGTATGGGATCAAAACATGGCTCATCATGGAACAGCCAGATGGGCAGATCTTCACCTACCATTCGCATCCTCACGTTCCTCCACCATCACGAGAAATGATCGTAAGAATCCAGGATCCAAAGAATGAAATGCTGGAAGACTAACGTTTGAAGCAAAAACGCACCGCTGTGAACAAAACACCTCGTGATTATGCGGTTTCCGCCCAGCCTGCCGAGACAAGGCTGCCCGTGATCTCTTCTCCGGCTCATTCAAGTGATGCTTGGAAAGCGTTGGAGGAGCATCTCCAGAACAACCGACTTGGAATACGCAGTACCAGAAGCGCGCTATAGGAGAATCAATAATTGCTGATCTTCGCGGCTGTCATGCACACCACCGTTTGAACTGCATCCAGTCTCGCTAGAAATACAATGCCATTTTCTCAAATCTCAGTTCTATTGCTATTTCTACTGTTTCTGATAATCTTGTTCTTTGATTTAGATCACATACATCAGTCCCTCCTAGCTAGTCAATGGTCCTCATGCGTTCAGAAGTGACGTCGCAAAGATTAACTGGGGTCCATCAAATGCCGCCGATGGTGTCGATGAGCTCTTCCGTGGCTCGCACTCGGATCAAAATGGACTAAATCCACATCAGAAACGTATGGAATGTGAGTATAGAGGTGATAAGTACCTAAGCGTTGACCATATTCTTCTCCGTCTCGGTCGCTATCGTGAGCCAGAAGGGAGGGAATGATCTGTACCATTTAGCCAAAAACCCCAATTGCGCATAGAATACCCGTACACGACTTACTTTCGTAATCGTAGTGCTTTCCTTGGAAATAAAGGTCGATGGCCAAAGGGGCCTAGACATCTGATACTTGATCAGCATACAACCAAGCCCAGTAAGCAGAGCAGGGTATACGCAACTGAGCATGCTACAAAGAATCCCATTGCGAATATACTGAACGCGACCATAGTAGCAGATGCACGCAGTCTGATTTGATGACCTTGAGAAACTCTGCGGCTGGATTTATACCCTGCAACTCATTCCAAAATATTTGAGGCTTGCCGCAAAATGTTGGTAGCATGATCGCCCAGCTGAAAAGCCCATGTCATAATCCGGCTGGCGACATGGTCTCAACTTTGGTCACCTGCAGAAAAGCGCGAGGCTGCTTGTACGACGCAGACACCATGTGCGCGTAGGTATATCTGGCGAGTTCGATTCCCTTCAAATGCGTTCTTTCCTTCTCATCGATCAGCCGAATTCCGGAAGAAAGATCAACACCACTGTCTTGAGATTATGCCGTCGGAACAGGCCTTAGTGTCGACAGGTAGGTGCGTATGTGCGATACTTACATCAGGGCTGACTCTCTTCGCGACTAGACACACAGGAATTGATAGAACCACTACTGAGAACTTCCCAAGCTTCGATTCCATTCCCAGCTCAACACGCTATTCTGAAAGCGATCCAGTACCACCTCGAAGACCACATCTTTCAATTCCTTCAGAAATGGCTCTTGGCCGAATCTCAGGCTGTAGGCTGGACATGCGTTGAGGCAGTCGAGTTGCACAAGGTTTTCGAGTTCTTGGCCGACCACACAGAGCGAATAGAAGCGCAAATAAATTGTCCACCAGCACAGTCGATTCAGAAATGGCATCGCGTGATTAGCAACGTTCGTCACGCGTCTGTTCACCGTATTCCGCAAGCTCGAGACATCTTGCTTCGAATGGTCCGACACGCGATCGGCTTTGTGGGAAGCATCGCCGGCGGAAGAAGCCCACAAAGCCTTCGTCGACTTTATCGCTTCGTCAAGACAATACTTCATGTCTCAGATCGCTTGCAAGCCCAGCTGAGAGATAAAGTGAGGTTCCAGGTGCAGTTGTGCAACGCTCACCCTGAGCAGCTCGGACGCCGATTACAATTACTGCCAGAGGCCATGAAAAGACTTCTGAGAAACATCGAGCAGCGCATGGTGTCCCAAATTCAAGATTTTCTACAGCTCGAGTTTTCCTAAGTCAAGGACGGCGACCGGTTAGCGTACGAGAAGAGCACAGATCTGGCTAGTGCGCGACGTAGTCTCCGCAGAGAAAGCTGCAGTGAATGTGTGAGCGGCAGCAGCTTTGTATGTGTCTAATCACCAAATATAATATTCATGTCTGTGGTCCCATGTACAATGCGTATCCCAGATCCATGGAAGTAGTCAGCAAACAAATTGTAGGTCCTTCACCTCATAGCCATCTCGTCGCAACTTTCTTATCCGAAAGCCCACACTGTCGTTTCCATTCGGTTTCCGCCTGCGCTTCCTCCGTGCGTGATTTGTCCAAAGCCGTTCGGAGCAACACAATTGTTCGGATCAGGCGAGGATCTCCAGCGGGACTTGCTCCAGGGTTGAAATGGTACTGCAGAGCCAGATCCTGAGTGGAGTCCATCACGGCCGCGACGAGTCGATGGAAGTTCTTGAAACAATCGGTGTAAAAATCATTCTCTCGCTCTTGCTGGTTTCGTTGTTGCAGCCATTGCTGTTTCAGTGCTCGAGGCGTGGTCTTGGGGGATCTTTTCGACATCCTGAGTCGGGGCCGCGTCGCTTCCACAGCCATCGTAGACCCTCCCGCCATGGCAATTTGGTGATCGAGTGAGTTGATTTCCGGGAAAGACGTTTGGAGTGGCGGAGCAGCCGGTGTCATTGCAATCAGCTCGGCATCTTGTGCAGGGTCAGCAGGCCGACTGTAGATGCTTGTGGCGCTGTCGCGAAAATGGACGGAGAGGGCTTTGCGGAAGGCGTTCATGGCGTCGAAAAATCGACAGGAGTGATCTCTCTAGGCGCGAGAGCGTATGTCGAAGACTAAAACAAAAATATCAAATCGGGATCGGGCCGTTGACATTTGAGCTAGCGTGTCTTACGTCGGCTCTGTAATGGTGGATCTCAACATACTACAAAGCTTAGTCTCTCTTTAACTACCAGCGGTGCTCGTGGAGCGCAAGAAATCACTTCAACAAACAACACACATGACTTTTTTTGTCTTGCGACAGCCACGATAGTTTGCTCTGTAAACCAAAACCGAGGGAATAAACGCCCAGTTGCATGTTACGGTACTTGTGAGGCGGCTCTAAATTGGCCGGGCCATCAACATCACACCCGCCTTCGCTTCTGTCGTGGTACAGGCTCTACAAAGCGAATCGTTCTTTTTGTCTCGCAAGCACAGTAGCAGTGTCTCACGGGCGGCCAGGATGGCGTTTGATGGTCTGCACGGCCAAAGTGAGCAAAGGCCTGCTGCGCCTCAAGAAACTCCTGCGCGCACTTTGGAAATCCGCCAATCTTCTCACAATAGACACCATTGGCGATGTTGATCGTAAAGCGCTCTTCAAGGCTGGCAACGTGAAAGGCGACGCGTTTTCTGTAATATCCGCAAGGTTCGCAGCGGTCATGGGGGTCTACATCACCCAGGGAGTGATCCTGACCAATCTGAAATTTGGCACCAGGGATCTCAACTAAGACGCGCGCGAGGATCTCACCAGCCCCCGGCCGAGAGCAAAGGATGGACCCCTCGCAGTAAAATCCGACCTGACCAGGGACCGGAGTAGCGTCAAACTCGAAGAAAAACATTGCGGACGCGAGCACCGTCCTCACCAGTTCACCTGGAACGAGATAGTCCATCTCGGATAACTCTTGCAATGCGCTGGTGTCGTCAAGTTCGGGCAGCGGGCCGGGGATAGCATGATCGAGTCGAAGTACATCCGGTTTCGACCAATGCGGCAAGTAGTTCAGGGCTTCCAAAAATCCTTGGGGGCCGTCCATCGAGGGCGATGACATCGTGGCGCGAAACAAACGAGGGAGCGCGCCCTCCGAGGTCGTATGTCGCGAGCGTTGAGCAGAATCAAGCGCGGTACATCCCGTGCCAACCGATAAAAGCAGATCATGTCGTTTCGCGCGCGGCCAGATGACGCCCGACTCCCTCCACGCAATGGCGAGCGGGTTGTTCGCGCGTACTCCACCATCTTGGAAAGGGCCGAAGCCTGGTAGCCGTCTCGGCTGAAAATAGCTGCCGCGTGTTAGCCGTGTTGGTTCCGAATCGATGGTCTTTCACTTACAAGGGCGCTGCGACACTGCATTCGGCTCTGGTGAAAGAAAAACGTTAGCTCTCTGCACTGTGGCCCACAAATTGCAAGAGTTGTTCGCAGAAGCCAACTCACATGTCGCACAGATATGGATTCTCTTGGTCGTGGCTGGGCGTCAAAAATTCGTAGGCGGCGTCTGCACGGCGATGGCCCGTGCCTCGGTAATTGGCAAGCACGCAGGCCTTGCCGTCAGATGTGCGACTCGCAACGACGGCAACCCGACATCCGGCAGGACTGGCGGTGGTCACGTCGAAAATACGACGGTCCGCGGGCACTGCCTCTTTTAGGGTCTGGGCTAAATTCTGTGAGTCATACAAACTACTGGGGATCACGTTGAAAGCCGAAGCCAACCATCGAACGAATCGTGGCGCCGGGACCCGTGAAGCACGGAATATTTTTCGCGCTAGGTCGGGAAATGCCTGCGCACATTGCTCGACTGAAGAGTGGTTCAGAAATAGATCAATCGCCGTCAACGCGCCTGCGGATGGTACTGTCAGCGCGGTGGTGGAAAAGGGGGAAGCGTTGTACGTACCAACACTCGTTCCGAGACACAAGTCGGGGAGAGACGCGATCGGCAAGCCAATGCGCTTCTCCAACGCCCGCAGCAGGCCCAATTGGATCAGCCCGCGGACGCCACCACCGTCCAAACTGAGGACCACCGGGTGCTTCGTAGGGGGTAATTGGCGTATACGGACGAGGAAAGTGTCCTCGCAGACGGGGCATTCAGTGAGGTCCCAATGATACTCACCGAGGGAACTTGACTTGCCAAAGATTACGACACAGGTGTCACAGAGTGCATGTTTGCATGGCATCATGTGTTCGGGCGGCCGACACAAGCATACCATGCAGGTCGTGGTGGAATAAAGGCCTCCCCATTGGCGAAAGTAACGCTGCAAGATACCCTTTCGAGCCGTGGCAGAGGTGTTGTTGGCGCTCAGTTGCAGGAAAAGCCGTTTGAAATGCGAACCGATACCGTCGCAGAGACTGCGAGTGGCACCTTCACTCGCAATTTCGGCACAATGCTTCTCATACAGTGTAGCAAAGACAATGGGCGGGGAGAAACCTACGCGTGTCAGTGTGAGCATTGAAACGAGAACTGTGATCTTACCGTGCATTTCAGGGGGGTACGCATGCATGAGGATGGCCGAGGCCACAAAGACCTGCATCTCGTCCTCGGCGCAGCCAGCCGATATGACGATCTGAGCGCCTTCTCGAAGATAGCGACCCATGGCTCCGTCGTCGGGATAACCTCTCCGGGCTTCGGTCAGGAGATCAAAGGGCGGTGCGATTCGACATCGCTTGTAGCTTTGAATAAACGATTTCCAGAAGGCGCCTAGATGAGACGCTGAAACGTGATCTCCGGGGGACGCTTGCTGATCCCGAATGGCGGACAGCTGCTCGACAAGGAGAGCCCGAAGAGGTTCGAATGCAACCGTATCGGAGAGGCCACATCTTGGTCGCAGATCCAGAACGACGGTCTCTCCAGTCTCAGCAAATGCTTCGAAATCGGCCAGGTGTCGCGCTGGCATAGGATCCGAATCGTTGTGCTTGGTCAAGACGATGACTATTCGCATGGAGGTAGAAACAGGCTGGCTGCCAACCGCAAGTCGTCGACGGGGCTGCTGCAACAGGTCTCGGGCAGACTGCAAGTCGGATTGAGAATTGATGAACAGGCAAAGAATCTGGGCCCATGGCAGAACGAGTTGAGCTTTCACTTCTTGGTGTAATTTTGCCGGTAAACAAGATTTTTCGTCATCTTGAATAGCATATCGCCGGTGTCGCTGAGTCGAACGGTGTTTGCGCCATCGGGAATCGCCCTGGCTTTTCTCGAGAAGCAGGCTGCTCTCGGCAAAAAGAACCGGGTTTTCAGTATGACCGGATCTCCCACCCAGGTGAAGACGAATCCAGCCCGCGGGACCTTTACGTGTGACATTATTGTGGGGGTTCAGCGCTCGCAGAGCCTTCAGACGATTCGAGTTCCCAGCGAAGTAGACCAAAGATGGACATTGGCGTTTCGGAGATGGCATTCCCTGCACCAACTTCTCCAGACGACCGGTATCGACCAAAGTCCAGGCTCCGTCTTCATTGACAAGATCAAGCCACGCTGCCATGGTGCCGTCTGATTGTTTGGACACAGAATGAGATCAGGGTGGGTCTTATACCAGCTAGGCCGGACGGATTGCAAATAATGCTGCGGAAGACATGCCGCTTGTATTGTAAATTGAAGGCTTGCACTTTGCTTTGACCCAGAATATGAGGCTAGGCTATCGAATTAAGTGCTGCCATACTAAGAGACCCCACATCCTAAATAGCAGTAAATGAGTACATGAGTACATATCAGGGGACATTACCCGACGTCGCTTTTACTAGAGGCTTTGAATGGCTATAGAACGGAAGCCTGTGTCAATATAACAGCTACTCCACAGGCCAGGGCTGTCAACACTCTGATCGCCGAGCTATAAAAAAAACATCTCTCAGCTCAAAAGTGCTTAGACATTTATGCGCAACAATGGGAGCCCACTTATCGAAATATGTGTAAAAGCAGAAAAGCGACGGACGCCTCCTGATGTGACTGATTTATCAATCATTGTCATACTCACCAATATCTTAAACATACGCGTGAGACTCCAAAGCAGCGGCAAGAATATCTGGTAGAGGATTTGATCGGTAGATGCTCGGCAACATTTCTACTGCATACGAGATCTTGTCTCAGGCCTGCAGTGTTTGCACTCCACTTGCCTCTTTCCAGGAATATGTAGCAATTGAAAGGAATCAACTTTACAATATTTATTCGAAAGCAAGCATGAGACTGAATACACATAATAGAAATAATCAACTACATACATCGTAAACATACTCCGAGGAAACCCCCATGACTCAGCCTGGCCCTTAATCTGCACCAGCATCATATCAAAATACAATATCAACGAGGGTAGACGAAAGTCTTGAGAATGTTCGAATCAGGTACATCAAATACACCCTCATAAATTGGCAGAAACAAAATGAGGTGATACAGTAACTGTCGGGATATACTCTTCTGTCAGAACAAGCTTGCATCTGATAGATCACATTTCTGTGCACGTAACCTTGCGCCAAGCTGCGGCTTCGGCGTATGGGATTGAGGGGTATTCTGAACCTGACTTGGAGGACACATCTATCTACATGAATCAATTGACTTTTGCTTTCCAAGCATACGCGCTGTCCACTTAAATGTGTACACAGTACCTAGCTGGTGATACCAACAGTAACTGGATGTCTGGATGTCACAGGATGATCCTTACCGTACCCATGTGCGCCAGTCGCCCCATAGGGCAACATTACATCGTCATTGGTCACTTCTTGGGATATGCAGATGAATACTCTCCCAAGCTTGATACGGGAACCATTCACAAGCTGAATGTTTGCAAGGTCTAGATTAACTATCATGTAGTTCGGAGTAATTTGGGCGTGCTATTGCGGGACAGGAGACTGCATGCAATACGGTCAAAGCGAGCATGACAGGAGTTTCAAGAAAAAAATACTTTGCTGCTATTAATTCAACTACCTAATTGACTAACGAAATTTTTTTTGCTTGTTTGTTTGTTTTGTTTTTTTGTTCTTGCTTTTGTTTTTGTTCAGTTTTTCTTTTTTCTTTCCTTTTTTTCCAATACTTTAACGAGACAGATCAGTGAGACCAGAGCATAATTTGGACGTGCTTGTTACCAATCGGCAATTAAAGTTCCTCCTCCGTACTATCGGTCATATCCAAATCCTTGACCACGATTCCGTTGTTCTGTAGCATCGTCGCCTTGTAAATGTCATACAGAGCGTGGGCTATCACTTCCTGTTTCTGCCTTTCCGAGGGATCCATTTCTTTCCATTTTTCGCTTCCTTTTTCCTTCATAAATTTTGCCCTGCTGATTTCGACAACGGGAAGCTGACCCTGGGATCTGGATGGATCCCGGTCTGTTATTCCATTCGACGTAGCAGTGGTATTTGTCGATCCTGACGAGGCATCAGAATTGACGCTCTCCGTGTCCTCGTCACGACTAACTGGATTGGATCTGGTGCCCGTCACATTATTTCGCTGGTTGGGCGGAGGGGTGCCGCAGCCATCATCACTTAGAGAAGAAATCCTGATATCAGGTGTCCTCAAGCGCGAGGTGGCTCTCTGTAGCTGAAGCCGCCTCAGAGAGTCGTTCAATGGACATGGTGTGGTAGAACGACAGCGATTTTCGCTTCTAGGTTGCTTTCGGGCCCAGGCCACATATTGCCCCTCCTGATGATCCCAAACTTCTTTGATCTTTTCCTCGGCTGCCTCCCGCCCATGGCAAAGCCGTTGGAAATCGCATTTAGGAATCCACGAATATCCCTCTGTGACTTTGCACTTAATCATGTCTTCTTCCCTCAAACCCTTCCATTCGACTCTTGCCCATGAGCATGAATTACGGGTGGAGAATCTCACACCCGTATCTTCGAATACGGCTCCAAAGACGCCGGCGACGTTTTCGATCGTATACCGATAAGGCTTTCTCCCACCAACACCCTTGTCTCTGATTTCGGTAATTCGAAGGTCTTTGTCGGAGATGTTGGCAGTGCGTTCATTAGTGTACCCGGATCGGAGCTTGAATGTGAACCTGGCTGACTCGGGGGGACCTTCTACCACAATCACGAAGGTCGATTTCCCTCTCCAAGTTCCCCATCCATCCACAACATCTTCGGGGTCTGGAGCTGGACTGTGCGTGATGCGATCTTTGTTGTTTTTCTTGGGCGGATCGAGAACAGCAAGACATTTGAAACCCCTCGCTAGGCTACCGACACTCTGCTCGCGCGATGATCTCACGCTGGAAAGGTTCGGCTTACTTGGTACGTCCAATGTGTTGTTTTGCATGGGTTCCGGCTGGTATTCGGTGTTGCGGTTTGCACCAAGATCTTTCATCTCAATCTCCCCAACCTCTATCGATTGGATGGGCTTGTCATGGTGTGGGGTTGAATTGTCGTCCACTGGGGCATACTGTTGTGTCTGGTCTGAATGATTTTCGTCGGGATACGACTTCGTCTTCATATTTGGATTCGCATCGGATACGATTGCTTGTTGGTCTCCACTTTCCAATTTCTGTCGAGACAGAGCTCCTTCTTTTGCCTTTTCCACTGTTTTTTGGAGCTTCTCAATATGTTCTGACTTTGAAATAGATTTCTTGGTGACACCATCGGATGGCATAATGGCAGGTCAGAACAATGATCGCTCTGAGATGGGCTGATGTGTCCAGCAGGAGCTATTCATGCTTTTCTGGCCTTGCTGAGAATCATCTTGTACACCATAATTTTCAGTGGACACAGAAAGAAGATTGAGCCTCCCATCATTTTTAGAACGTTGAGATGCCATCAAGATTCAGGGATGAAAGAGAAACGAAACACATTGGCCACAGTGCGCATTTGAGGATGCAACATCACGTTTTTTGTACACTGCCAGACGTGTGACTATGATCCGCACAATAAAGTGACTCAGAAACCGAATTTATCACCTCAAGTGACTGACTTCGCATAGGCTTCGTGACCTGCGGGTAAAAATATGAAGGTATCGGAGGCAGGTTCTGCACTTCATGCATGCTCGTGCTTCCGCTACAGATCGGCATCACAATTCACAATAGACCTGTCTTCCGGTGGTTGAAAGCAAAGTTTCCTTTTCTAGTAAGAGGCTCGCATCTCGATACACCTACTCGCTGGGCTTACTTTTCTTTGCTTGGCCATAAGGAATTGACCTCCCAGATCCCCATTACTGTTCTCAGACTTTACATCAGTGGACTTTCTTAACGCTCAGCGCTCTCCACTGAGAACTCGATTTTTCAGTATCACAATGACATTGAGGTCTCTCTTTATGGCATTTCAGTGTTTTCGTTTGATTGCTGCAGCGTCTCATGCTCCTTCGACTCTATCTAATTTCGTGGAACCCCGCGGGATTTCACCTCACAAACGCAGCACTGGTCTTTATGCTGCGGTACTGGGGGGTAACGGTATGGTTGCCGACGGCTGGCCCGGCATTGACCAGTGGGTTGAGTCTTTTGAAGCTATGTTCGAGAACAACAAAGGCGTCATCTCCATCAGCTGCTCCCAGTGGGGTCTCCCCAATAACTCAGAAGGCGAGACCGAGTTCATCCATGATGCCATCCAGCAAGTGGCCCACTCAAGTGGCGTCGACGCCCGCTTCATTTTGTCGATCGTCATGCAAGAGAGCAAAGGGTGTGTTCGTGTTCAGACTACTGACAATGGTGTGGTCAATCCGGGACTAATGCAAAGCCACGACGGCTCTGGTTCCTGCAACAAGGATGGAGCCATCCAGAACCCTTGTCCTGAGAGCGAGATCCATCAAATGATCATGGATGGCGTCGAGGGCACCTCGGCCGGTCCTGGCCTCAAAGCGTTGATAGACCAGGAGGGGGGTTCCGCACATGTAGCTTCATTCTACAAGGCCGCCCGAGCTTACAATTCCGGCGCGGTTGCCTCTAGCGGGAATTTAGGTCAGGGAATTGCTACTCACTGCTACGCCTCGGACATTGCCAATCGCCTTATGGGTTGGACCAATGGCCCTAGCTTGTGCGCTCCCAATGTGATCGGCGTGTTATCTGCTGCGCATTGGGAGGGCAAGAGCGTCAGTACTTGCCATGGGACAGCAAAAACCTCACATTTCCGATCAACTCCTTCGTCTCACATGTACTCGCTGTCGTCCCACCCAGTTGCAAGTGCGCTGGATTCACCGTATACTTCAGGATTTGCCACGACTCCTGTGGTGATTTCTCTTGGCACGGCCACGTGTGCTTGTAGCAAGAGGAGACTTCAAGCGAAGAGACGACAGCAGGAACTTTTTCTTTTATCTACCTTTTTTCTTGCTGCGTCCGGTTTTGGATCCCGAGACCAGTGATTTCAGAGTTCAGTCTGTCAGTACAAAGAGACGCCCGTGGCATCTGGCTCTTGTGGCTGAAGACATACTGTTTTTGACTGTTCTCGATTGATCTAGAGCTCCTCAAACCAGAAAAGGAAGCATTTACCATCTACGCAGCGAGCCATATCACATCCGACTGGCTCAACTAGCACGCCTAAACGAAAAGTAATCGCAAAAAACAGCTCAAATAACTATTTCGAGTTCTCTCTCTGTTCTAAAAGAGCAAAAAGCTTGCCTTGCAGTTCCTTCTGTTCCGCCTCTCGCTTCTCTTCCCGTAGCCTCTGCTGTTCCAATTGAACGAGGAGCTTCTCTTCTCTCTCCTTCTGTTCCGCCTCTCTCTCCTTCTGTTCCGCCTCTCGCCTTTCTTCCCGTAGCCTCTGCTGTTCCAATTGAACGAGGAGCTTCTCTTCTCTCTCCTTCTGTTCCGCCACCCGCTTCTCTTCTCGTTCCTTCTGATCTGCCAGCTGTTGTTGTAATGTTTGCACCATAATACGTAGCTCTGGTTGTAGACCGCGATTCTGCAAAGAGGCTGCTCGGCGATAGCCCGGGCGTTCCTGCAATCCCACCATAGACACCTGAGAGTCAAGCTCGTCGACATCGATACCAGACACATCCTCGTTTGGGTCTGAGATTTTCTCGAGTATCCGCATCAATCGATGGGTATGAATCGGTAGGAATTCACGGTCCAAGTTCTCTACAAACTGATAACATGTCCATCGATTTTCTTTGACCCAGACGTTGGGTTGCGCAACAGGCCAGCGATAGAATGACACCTTGCCATCATCAATCTCAGGATAGTAACCGTATATTCGAAAGCCTTCGAGCTCATGCGATATTGAAAAGCCCAAAATCCGCCGATGCACCTCTTCCGTGCAGCCTGCGGCTTGGCACAAAGAAACCACGGCTCGCAGAGCAATACACATGCTATGCATGTTCTGCCGATCGGCAAGTTCCAACGCCTGATTCCCACATTTGATTTCTGCGGTCAGATACGGAAAGTACATGTCTTCTCGTACTGTGTACGGTGACTTCTCGTCAGGCTTGATCCCGAGTTTGCGCCGCTGAGTCTCGGAAAAGGTCGACCATCTCAAGCCTCGCGCGTGATCGGGCTGCGGTTTGGGTCCATAAATCGGCTCGGTTTTCAGCCAAGGATCATTGTACCCGTCTATCACATCCTTCAGAGATTTGTTCCCCTGAATGTATTGGTTCTCCGCGCAGGGCATAATAAGAGGGTGAAGGTCCACCAAGAGACGCGCTTCAGATCTATTCTGCAACGCAATATGGAAGTCTGTGATATACTCGTCTTCGAGCATTGTGCCGATCGGAGGTTCGATAGGTTGACTGAGGAGACGCTCGCACAGCGCAATATCCTCGGGTACTGGGCCGGCAGAGGACTGTCGCATGAAGCATCCTTTGGTCTCTAAGATGGTGACATAGTTCACAGCTCGGTACGCATATGACCTGGTGTCGCGAGCCGAGCTGCTCTCGCTGTTGTCCGACGAGACCGACCGAGCACGCCCCCGATCCGTTGAGATCGAACGCGATCGGGATCGTTTTGACGGGGGTTGGCTCATCACTTCTAGTGGATCCACCTCCAGTGGCGCAGGAATCCACTGGTATATCGTGTCTGTATGTCCGTCGGTGGTATTTGCGAGGGACGTGGGAGTGGTAGTTCGCTGTTCGAGAGCATCAGGTAGCTGGGCAGTCAGTGTGATGATTATCGCAAGCGGAGGGTCAAGACTTACTTTACTACCACAGTCGGGAGAGAAGGGAGAAAGCGGGTGCTGCGCTTTGCTATGCTCGTGCTCTTCCTTCCAAAGCTCTGATTCCGTGCTGGGGCTTTCTCGCCGGCGCGCTTTTGCTGGTCGAACGTCACCATCACCGTTGCAGCCATGTATCTCAGACGGTGCTTCGCGTTTCATGGTGTCGATCCGGCCAATCAAAGAAGATCATTGTCGCTGCCAAAAATCATCCGTCAACAAAAATACATAGGTGGTTGCGTTTCATGAATCAGAAGGAGTCAGGCATCGAGTGGTAATGGGTGTTCGGTTTAGCGCGGCCTGGACTCTTGGCATTGGCCTGTGCGCGACAATATGCATTGGCCCCTCGAAATTTCATGTCTGCATTTTGAAAGCCGCTGGACTCCTTGATGCGTACGTTGGTACTTAGATCGTTGGTAAGTGAGCGGCCATCAATGACTTTTGATTACAAAGGTCCTATCCCAGGCGTTGATTGTTCGATCAAATAGCCATTCTTAATCTACCTGGACATGATGTGGGTTAAAGGAAGATTGATTATCTTATTACATCAGGTGATTTACAGTGAGATCAATTTTATTTAAAAATTAAATTATTTCTTCTTATAGATACTTCGGGGTTGATTCCGATGCTTCGGCTCTGTTCCAGATCTGCACCAGCCTCTTATCACGATAGGACATGCTGTTCTTCTATGACCCCTGTGCTTAGTTTTCTTGTCTATCATGTCCATCTCAGGACACTTTGGACAATTTGATGGAAGTCTGGGCATTGAAGGGAGGTCGATCGGTGCTTTTTTGCGAATTTGTCCAATGAGAGATTCAAAAGTCACCATCGCCAATAGATTCAAGATTCGTTCAGTTTAATATAAAACCAAAAGACCTCGGCAATTCAGGGTCTGAGTGTCGCAAATTTTTGTGGTTCTTTTTTTCACTGGATTGTAACATGAAAAGAGAATTGGAGCTGGCATAGGGACTAGTCGTGTGGAACTCCACGGGACAAGTAGGGCGGTCTTGCAAAGAATGAGAGCACTCAGAGCTCGCGATTGGAGATAATTCACCAGAACAGGCTCCTGTCAGAGTCTCGACTGGTCCAGCCGATGTAGCCCCTTCACTAGAGGATAATGGCGGAACACGAACTTTCAATACCAAAGGATCGCGGCGGATAGTGCGAGTTGGCTTCTTGCTTGGCTTGCGTCCTACAGACAGTCCAAGGCAGCGAGCCTGGCTAGCGATTGATGAAGCACTTCGTCCTCTGTGAAATTGTGCCTCGTACTCCAGCGCTATTCGAGACCAGCTCAGATGGCCTCTGGTACTCACAAAATTGCGCAATTGTCTTTTTTCCAAAGGGCTCCATGCTGAGGCCAACTTCAAGGACGTTTTGGGATTGTTCTCCGTGGATGTCTCCAGTGACGTAGGTGTGATGCTCGCTTCCATATTGCGAACATGGTCGCCTATATCTTTGTCGATTGTAGATTTCATCACCATCACACATCTGGATCTCGACTGAGGGCACTGAGGACTCTGATCTAGTGGATTCCCTATCAGCAGTACGAGTTTGCTCTTGTAGAGCTTGGAGCATTGTCTGGATCATCCCATCAACTAGGGAAAGTTAGTTCGCGCGGTTTTCGTGCATGAGATTATGCATTATTCGCTCACTCTCTGAAATGCCTTCGCCAAATTCAATCAAATCCTCAATCAGCTCGTTTCTGGCCCCTTGCTCTGCCTGTACATCTTCAGGTTCTGGGCTTGTTCCGAGCAGCCTTTGAAGTACGTTGGAGGACAGCATGTCCCAGTCGCTCTTGCTGACTTCTACCAACACTCCTCGGACGGAAATCCGATATGGGTCCTCTTCGTTCAAATCGATTTGATCGATCATTTCTGATTCTTGGATAACATCAACCCAGCTGGGACGAATTCCATTACAATCATCATCATCAGCTAAATCCACGACGTGTGGATAAGAGCTGCTGAACAGACTGTTGACCCTGTCCTCGATCCTGCTGCTCAAAAGTGGCATATGCAAATGCTTAGCGACACTGCCATTTTGATCAAGGACTTTGGTGTAAAGAGTCACCAGCTTCAAGATTGGCTCTAAATCTTGCCGCAATGTCTGAATCCGCGGTAGCGGACCGACTACCTTGTGGCCGAAAAAGTCAATTTGCTCAGTAGGCCTATTGTTTTCCGGTTGGCTCATGTTGGCAGTTTGGTAGATCTTTTACTCAAAGGGAGAAAGGAAGAAATACTGACATCATTGCAAGGGACGGAGTTCTTTACAATTCAGAAATGAGAAAATTGATTACATTATTTGCGAAAAAAGGGGTCTCAATGGACCCCACGAAAAAGTTGCTGGATAATTTAATTGATGTCCTATTGTACGAACCTGGTTGACTAGCTTGTGATCTTCCGATTGGGTGTGCCGACCAGCGCGATTGTCTGGATGACCAATCATCAGAGGCCAGGAAGCGGCATTGCTACCTTCAGTGTAAATTCGACAAACAAGTGGGGATTGACTACGCGTTCAATCTCAAGCACCCAGAATCCTGTCGCGACCGTAATTCACCACACCGGCTGCATCAAACCGAGCTAAGACTAATCTACGGGTCCCAAACGGGGTCACAGACTACGAGATTTATTTCCGAGCCGATGAAAATGCTGGGCCTGGGCCTGGAAAACTGGTTTCATAATATTTCCGTGAATTTGGGCAAATGCCTAGCTTGCCAGTAGCTTGCTATCCTATACCGAGCCGAGCTAGTTGCTGAAAGGGTATCCAGAGCAATCCATTCAAGTCTTGGGCACCGTTTGAACAGGCCCCTAAACCATGTTTCTTTTTCTTCCGCTGTATATGTAATCCTAATTCAATAGCTATTATCACCACAGGGAGCTCGCGAAACTCACGGGCCACTGGTCAGCACTGTAAATTCGAGTGTATCTTTCTCCACTTTATCTAGCCTTGTGTCTAGTGTCGAGTTGGACTCAAAGAGGGCAGGCAGTACTGTACTAGCGTAAAGCAGCCTGCTGATCCAATGCGCTCAAGCCCCTATGTGGAAACCAATTCCCTTTCTTGTGGGTGCTATGGCATTCGCAAGCTCCACGGGCATTTAAAATGGACAGTCCTCGAGACACATTTTTGCTAGAGGCGCTGCCGTGGTCATTCTTGCGTAGATCGCCGAAAGTCATCCCCGGCACGCCAAATTTGACTATGTATAACACTCATTATAATACAGGACGCCTTGAGTCGGTTGAAAACGCAAATCTCGTCTTAGGCGGACTAAATGCATCCGGGTACGCGGTTATTGCTCTGGAACGACAAGAGAAAATGACGCGATCCTTCGAAAGGGCGTTGGGGCCAAATTTTTTTGGAAAGGGCTGATAAGCAGCTTTCTGAACGGCCAGACTCTAGGAGGATAGTCGCTCCTTTGTACAGCCCGGACAGAGCACAGATATTTGTGCTCGGGTGCTGAGCGGCGATCGACTGCGCAGTCGATCTGGAGAACGTGGCGCTCAGAACGCTGTACCTGCACCCAGAATCCTCGTTGCGGTCGGCATTCATGGCTACAGTAGAATTCGAAAACAGATTACCCCTCGGACAAACACGTTTTCTTTCCCAGCGTCCCGCCCGATTGCGCTAAGCCGAATTAGGTCGGAGCTGGCCCGCTACCTTTCGGCTGGATGTACTTTCTGGTAGATCATGATTATTACGGTATTTACAAATTCCAGCATGTGGCCTTGCAGAACAGTGAAATCATATAACCATCCAGTCTTCCATCCACCCGTATTTCAGTCAGACCCAAGCCCAGGGCTGTTAGCTTCAAGTTGAATCATATCCATCTGCTCCTCACTGAATGTAGGACTCGGTGGAACAATGTCATCGTTGGCGGAATCTGAACCATAAATCGCACGTCTTCTGGCTCTCCGCTCAGCCTGTTCAGCGCGCAACCGATCCCGTTCTTGCCGTGCTCGGCCAGCCGCCCTACATTCCTGTTATTGCCTTTCTAAAATGCTGACAGTCTTGGCAAACAGACAACGGCTTGCCATTTTCTGAAGCTCCTGCTCCGAATTTTCGACATAGAAGGCAGATAACATAATGTTCCCCCGAAATTTGAATGTGGTTACCGGCCGTGTATCGATTGGTGCCTGGGAGCGGTTTGATACCACAGTCCACGCACCAGCGATACATCACATCGAATCCCCATTTGGCCTTTTCCTTTCTTATCATATTATCTCCGAATTTTGCCTTTGGTCGCAGTCTAAGACAATCTCGGCAAGCGTACAAGTCGTTCTGAAGTCCGAACCCAGCGGTTTCCGCTTCGATCAACTTCGCATGCGTAGGACGCACTAGTGATCTGCGTAGAATCTGGCACGATTGTCGCAGCCAGGTTATACCGGGCGCATCAAGATGATAGGCTATCATATGTAGTATCTCAGTGGGGAGATCAAGGATCGTGGTGGTTCGCGACATCACAAAAATACATGCATGTGGGCCCCGTTAGAGCAGTGAGAGGGGCAGATATGACAAATAATAGTTCGTCTGTAAGCATATAGTATGGTTTTGGAGATAGGCTTCAGATCCTTGGTAGGTCTGGCGGGGAAACTGAGTTGCCATCGGGCGGGCAAGTTTTGGGCTGCGTCATCACATGACCGCGTAGCTAATCAAATCATTCGCCCAGTATCCAGTCGGCAAAGATGGTCTGTTCAGTGCTGAAAATATCAATACCGTAATATTGATGATCTACCAGAAGTACATTCAACCGAAAGGTGGCGGGCCAGCCCCGACCTAATTAGGCTTAGCGTAATCGGGCGGGGCGCTGGGAAAGAAAGCGTGTGTGTCCCGAGGGGTAGTCTGTTTTCGAATTCTGCTTGTATATCGAGCCGGCGCACGGGCCTGAGTGGGGTCGGAGATCATGACGCTCATTAGTGAACCAGTAGATATCTGGGCCGGTCTTTTGATAATAATCTCATTCAAATTGCGAGATAATGCGGTCAATATCCCTTCATGAGTTTTATCTACAGCCTGCATCTAGCATTGCCCATTGGGCGAGGACGCTCTGTGGGGGTGAAATGCGAAGTCAATATACTCGTCCTCATTAGAGCACTTGTAATAAAAAATTCCTCATAAGAAAGTCTACGTAAAGACTTCGCTTAAAGCATCAGATACTTTTTAATGAGCCGAACTAGCCGAGGAAAGGTTATCCCTATCAGGCCAATACTTTGCGTGACATTGAAATAGCCCCCTTACCCCTTCGCCTAGACGGTTTTTCTTTCGCTAACTCGAGAGTTACCAATATGGATAAAGCTACGCATGCTTCTCAAAGTATGCTTTCCTCACCGATCTCTGCGGATGAAAATTCGCAGATACAAGTCTCGGTCACAAGCAATTCTTGACAAATCTAACTATCATAGGGGAATCTTTACTAAGACCTGCGCCCCTAATATTTGAGCCGCCTCTTCGAGACGATGACTTGTGGGGGAAAGTCAATACGCGGATTCGTCAAATCCGACGCAGTAGGAGCCACCCTGGAGCGCACCGCGTGAAACTTTTACGGTCCGACAAACGTCCGGCCAGAATTGCCCCTACTCAAGCGTTGTATGCCGGGAATGCGAGTGTCGCATCGTCTGCCAGTGTTAAATCATCTGTGAGCGCTGCGAATTCCAGCAGCGCTGGGCCGTCTACGACTGCTGGATCGTCCCCACTTTGCACAAGCGGGTGACTGGTGTAAGAGGTATTTTTCGTTTTAGGAAGCGACTCAAATAATCTCCTCGAATAGTTTATTCGTCCTTGGTGGATCAGTTCCGTTCATGTTCTTGTTTGATCTCCCCAATAATTTTGTCAAGACGACTGGGGCTGGAAGACCTCATCGTCTGCGGTATCCAATGATTGTGCGCGAATCAATAGTTGCCTGGAGGAGGGAAGGTAGCGAAAGAATAATCAGTCTCTGCGCTCTGTGAAGTCATGGCTCTGAGCTGATGCCTGCTGGGCTGAAATGTTTAAAGGAAAATGATGTAGAGATTGTAAAGCTCTCCCCGGGGTCTCAAAGCAATTAAATATCCCATAGGCAACTTGGCCACATATATTAAGAAACGCCGAGCAGATAACACATCGAGCCGTATTGTCTGGGTAGCTCAGGGCCCCGACCAATGGCCCCGAGAGTAGGTCAGTGGCTCCTGAAGCTGCTATATAGACCCGCAACAAGAATGCGCCGTGGCCAAGGGCTTAGACGAATGCAAAGTGTCACGTTCCCAAGGATACGCGACTCAAATCCCCGAAAACCCATCCCTGGCCCTGGGATCATGAGTGGGAATTCTAGGAGCAGGATAGCTCCCAGGATCGGTCTTGGGGGGCCTAGTACCGTTCGTGCTGTAGATGGGATAGAGGTTTACGGCTCTGGGAACAACAACTTCTAATGACAGGATAAGATAGATAACGCCGCTCAGGTCATTTCTGCAAGCATGCTATTAGTATTTAAGGACCTTTTTTCGTCTTGCTCGCAGGACTCTATGTTTTATTCACTGATTGACCGGAGGTGCAGCACAATACCTCGTAATTAATCACACTGGAGCAAACAAAGCCGCGTTCACGTTTCCACGCTCCTGCTTTGAGTATCGAAGATATATTACGCTGAAATTATGGTATGAGCCATTAACTCAATGAGTAAAGCTACGATCGCTGACATTATGGCAGGTTTCGATTCTCGACTTGCCGCTGGAGATCCTCGGGATCATAGCGAGCACTTTGCATGCGGGAGATATTGCTGCACTTGCTCGAACGAACACAATGCTCTATCCTAAGATTCAATATTACCTACTTCGACACAATGTCAAGTATCAAAAGAGCTCCGCTCTGCACTGGGCCGCCAAAACCAACAATGGTGCCCTAGTGAAGGATTTGCTTGCGCATCGAGCTGACGTGAATGCGCTAATCGATCAATGCTCTCCTCTGATTATCGCCTCAAAGCATGATGCGCTTTCGGTTGTCGAGCTCTTGATGTTTCAACAGCAGCTCAGGGCAAATAAGAGAGATGGGAATGGTAAAAGTGCGCTTTGGTACAGCGTAGTGAATGATTCAGTTGATTTGGTCAGTCGACTCCTCGAGGATCCGCGTGTCAAAATCGACCACGCCAATCGAGATGGCCAAACAGTGCTCTGGCTAGCCGTCTTCCAAGGAAATCGGCGATTGGTAGATCTGCTGCTCTCTAAAGGCGCTAGCCTAGATCTGAAGGACCGAGACGGGATTTCGCCATGGATGCAGTCGTGCATTAGGGACCGAAACGGCATCAAGGATCGGATTCTCGATCAGTACCAGGTGAAAGCCGCTGGAACACTTTCGTCGAACCGAGTCCTCGCGAGAAAGGCAAAAACGGTCGTCACGGCTGTGAAAGATGGAGACGTTGCCGAATTGCGACAACTACACCTCCGGGAAGGGCTCGACGCAGTGAATCACAAAGGACAAACGCTGCTCCATATCGCTACGCAAGGGGTCACCTGCCCGTGGTGGACTATTTGCTCCGTCAAAAGAAGACTCTTCTCAACTGCAAAGATCATTACGGAAGAACGGCTCTATGGATTTCAACCTATTCTTCCCTTGAAAAGATCACCGAGAGGCTTCTGGAAGAGCACGATGTGAACTTGAATACGCTCGGAAAGAACAGCGACTACGAAGCTCCTTCTACACCACTTTCTCATCTCATGATACGTTTCTACCCGACGATGCTTCGACGATTTCTCGCAATGCCGTCTCTCGACGTCAATCTAGGTGTCGGATCTCTATCTCCCCTCTACCTCGCCGTGAAGCAGGGTAACATTCCCGCTGTGAGGCTGCTCATCGCCCATAAAGACATACAGATCAATGCAACCCTCCCACATGCTGACTCGCCTCTCCACTTAGCGACCCTGAAGGGGAATATCGACGTGGTGAAACTGCTTGTTGCTCAAGGTGATCGGCTGCATGTGAACCAGCTGACTCACCTGGATGAGGAAACGGCGCTGTCTATTGCGGCCCGACAGGGAAATCTAGATATCCTCAACGTCTTGCTTTCACATCGCCGCATCGATATGGACATCATCGATCGTTGGGGCCGCACAGCACTTCGATCGGCCTTCCGCCAAGAACAAGTTGGCGTGGTAGAGAGGCTGCTCGGAGGACCAATAACACCTCGCCAATTAGTAATATCACTCGAGATTGCAAACTTGCACCAGAATAATCGACTGCAGGCTCTTTTGGAAGAGAAAATACATAAAAAGCGACAGCTATGTTCTTAGGCGAGTGTGATTCTGGTCGCAATGGTCAGTTCCCGGGAAGCAGAATCACGGATAGAATCACGGATATGAAGAGCCCCTCATTTCAGGTATAGCTGTGCCGATGGCCAAAAAAAAATGGAGTCACATTAACCCCAAGGAGCATGTGGAATATGTCTCGGTTAGCACTAAGTACTGTAATGGGTGCAGTAGCACTATGTTAAAATGCCATGCTCCCACTGAAGTGCCAATGAAACCCTCCTTACACTGATCCTGCTATTATAAGCGAATGCGATTTCACCCCAATAATACGCGTTCCTAGCATATGGAGAGAAACGCAAAGAGAAGAGCGTAAATAGAACAAGATCAAGTGACTCGAAGAGTACTCAGTATATCTGATCGTTCTTTGATGCTACGAATTGTAGACTGTCCGAATGTGGTCGCTACCGTACAGACTAGTACGTGCATGGCCAACTGAGTACTTGAGAGCGTGGATTTGATATACTATGGAAGATGCAGGATAAACAAGGGGGTTGAACTTGGTAAGGTCGTTGGGAGCCTCGCGACCGTCAGGCAGATGGGGTGCAAATCGAAGATGATCCGTAATCTGACACTTTTTCTGATGACCTTGCCACAAATACACGGCACGAGTGGGCATGGCTTGTCTCCAGTCTGGCGGGTCCTCTGGTCTCCACGTGGAAGATCCAACTCTATATCACCGTATCCGACAGCCTAAGGGGTAAGTAAAGCTCCAACCGCAGCAATGCTTCCAGACCGGGGTAGCCCTCTTGGTGCATCGAGGCTGGGAGTGGACATGTTTCCGTCCAGGCCGATTCTCCTGACCCAAATATGATTAGAGGTATATAAATATTGAGGATAATCCCCTCAATTTTCTTTTCTCCCCTTCAACCGTTTCCTCAGTCTATCGTCAATCTCTTTTGCAGACGGCTTTAGATCCGCCTTGCTACTTTATTTCCTGTCTTTTTCCTTTATGATACCTTTTGGTATAAATCATACGCAAACTCGTTAACATACGCTGAAGAAAATGCGTTCTTCTATCGCTTTGCTCGCCGGTCTGGCGGGTTCGACTCTCGCTTACCCTGCAGAGGTTTCTGTCGACCGCCGTACTTTTGGCCTTGTTGCTGAGATCCTTCGCTCCGTCGGCCATGAAGTTGGTTCTATCCTCGATACCGTTCTCGGTGGTGGTGCCAGCTCTCAAGACTCCGTCACTCTGCTCGCCGGCTTGAGTGCCCGCGGTGCTGCCGCTCTTGAGGGTGGTGCTCTTGGATGCAGTCACTCCACCATCCACGCTGGTGCCCGTGCTGAGCTGAAGACCTGGTTGGGTAGCCAGACTCCCATTACTGGATCCCTGAGGACCTCGCTTCTGTCCTGGTGTGAGGGCTCCGTCACCACTCTAGATGCTGGTGTCACTGCCGGCCTGGCCGTCTACATCCCCACCTGTGCCGACCTGGCTGCTAAGGAATCCATCTACGTCACCATTGATGGTATGTTCGACGCCTCCGAGCTAGAGTCTACTCTTGTCCTCAGTGCCTCCGCTCAGGTTTCTCTTTCTACCTTCATCTCCGCCCACGTCGACCTTGATGTTGATGTCAAGGCTGGTCTCCACCTCTGCGCTTCTGGTGGTATTGTTGGCAGCTTGGGTGCTGACATCAAGGCTTCCCTCCTCGCCTGGGTTCAGGGCTCTGACTGCGGTCTCGATGTCGCTCTGAAGGCTTCAGTTCTTGCCTGGATCAACGGCGAGGCTGGTACTGATCTCGTTGCTATTGGCTCTCTTTCCACCGATGCCCTGACCTCCCTGTCCGTTGGAGCCTCCGTTGAGGTTCTTGTCGATGAGTCTGGTGTTCTCTCCACCGGCGCCCTCGCTTCCATTGCTGCTTTCCTCGAGGCCTATGTCTCCGTTGACATTGATGTGAACGTCCGCGCTGCCCTGAATGCCTGTGCCGAGGGCAAGCTAGCCTCTGCCTTGAGCCTCGACCTGCGCACTTCCATCGCTGTCTGGCTGTCCAGCTCTGACTGCTCGCTCGGTGTTGAACTGAAGGCTGTTATCCTGCTGTGGCTGTCTGTTGCTGTTACCGTCGAGGCCTCCGTAGACATTGTCACTGGTCTTCTTGTTGACATTACCTCCTTCCTGACTGAGGAAGTCATTTCTCTTCTCAGCGTCAACCTCCGTGGTGCCCTCGGCCTCCTTGCCGCCGGCGAGAGCATCACCCTGCTCTCCTGGGATACTCGTGCTGAGCTTGCTGCTTTCCTCGGTGGCTGCACTCGCATCGACATCAGCGTTGTCGTTGAGATTGTTATTATTGAGTGGTTCACCGGCTGCACAATCCCCAGCTCCGGCTCTGGCTTTGGCTCATCCCCATCTGGTTCAGCCTCCGTGCCCAACCTGCCTTCTTCCACTGTCTCCATCCTTCCAAGCGTCTCCGCCGGGACTGGCTCTATTCCCTCCGGCCCTGCTCCCACTGGACCTGCCTCCACTGTCCCCGCTGGTTCGGGCTCCATTCCTTCTGGGTCCTTTTCTTCTGGCTCTGCTCCCTCTACCCCTGCTGGCTCCGGCTCAGTTCCTTCCGGCTCTGGTGTTATCACTATAGGCTCTGGCTATATTCCTTCCGGCTCGGGTGCTATCCCCATCGGCCCTGCCGCTACTGAGACTGCTGTGAGCACTCCCTATGCTGGTGATGCTGGCGCTACCGAGACCGTCAGCTACAGCACTGCCTACACTGAGACCATCGTCAGTGGTGGTGGTACCTGTGGTTACACTGAGACTATGTACTCCACCTACACCGAGACCGCCCCTGCCCCCACCGCTGCTCCCACCGGTGTTTTCCCCGAGGCCACCACCATCTATGTCACCAAGACTGTCTGCGGATGCGAGTAAAGCATCAACCACACCTTCCTAAACGACAACCGTCGTGTCTTTAGCATTTCCATTTTCCTCATGACACTACCTCAAACCTCTTGAAGTGGCGTGGCCTGCAGATCTATTCAAACTCTGTGCAGCGAAGGTCAATAACTCTCCTCACCTACTCGGTGGCTCATTTCCTTGCCTCTGTCTTGCCTGTAGATATCTGATTCTATTAAAATCTGCCCTGGGAGATTTGGCCAACCCGGATTGCGGCTTCTTTTTCGCCAAGAGAACATCACTTGGCTTTTTTCCAAAGACCTAAGAATCCCTATCTCATTCCCATCAATGGAGTACATTCCTTATATTCTTGTGATTCTTTCCCTCGTATTTGGTTCTTCTGGCTTTCATCGACTTGTAACGCAACAAGAGGTTTTTCCATGCAGACAACAGGAATGAAAGATGCCTCTCCTTTGAAATAGTCTTTTATTTTCATTTTGAACATAGGGAGTTCTTGTCTTCATCGTTCTAAATCCTTTATACTAGAAAGGTTCTAATTTTTTACATTCAAACGTTCAAGTATGAGCACTCTAGTAAAGGACTTGTGTATAGTGTACAGACTGCATTGATGAAATTTGGATAATCAGGCACTTCACAAATCGCGAAAGCATCCCAGAGATAAGGTGAAGGCATGATGATATAGCCAGACATCTTATAGTTCTTGATCTTGGAGGCAACCACAGTGAGAGGACGAAACATTTAGACACTTGCATTCCTCGAGCCTGGTGCTGATGATAGCAGATGCCATTGTCGATGAGGAGTATCTACAAGATGAGAAGTGCTGCTTAAAGTGCATCAAGGGGCCATGAGAGCCACCGGCGCCTTCAACTAACCTACTTGATCCCTTGAGGTGTACTTTTGGCCCCGGGATCAAGAACAATGGCTCTAGGATCCGGCTCAAGGGCCCCAGGATTAGGCCCCGTCCCAGGGCCAGCGAATGCATTCTCAGTCTCGGTCCAGTCATGAACAGGATCTCAACCAGAGATCTTAGGACCAGCCGTCTGGAAACACGCTTGGGCCAAAAGCCCGCATGTGAGACCACAGTTCCGCGCTAAGGTCACCTCACCTAGATCCCCGAAAGCCCGACCCTGGCCCTGGGATCTTGAGTGGGCGTTCTAGGAGCGTTGCACCTCCCAGGACTAATCAAGATCATCCTAAAAATGACCGTGAGGGACATGGGACTTGGCTTCATGAGTCCAGGACCAGCTTGTGCATTCATCAACGCACATACCACTCGGCCGCAGGAATCACATTTATGAGCATCCGCCATCGTATCTGAGCCTATGACTTGTGTTAATATAGATTGCGTATATCCTCCTGGTTCATTGAAGAGCATGTAGAATAGACATTTTGACCAATCTGCATTGTGCGAAAACATAAACACGAAGTAAATGTCGTTATATGGCCAAGAAGTTCTTCAACCCAACGCATCAGGTACGATATCTAGAATTCCATCAGTACATCAGCAATTGTCGAATGAAAATGACCAGTGAAAGGCAGTGCCTCTTTTCCAGGGTACTAGCCTCGATCCCAGAGGAAGTCATGAATGGCCTCCGGAGCACAGGGCCAGATCCTGGGACCATATCTGCTTTTCTTTTTTTGAAAAATTACCTTCCAGCACCAATACATTCTATGTTCTTGGCCACCAAATTTTATGGTCATGGTCATTTTTGCAGGGTACCACTGGAATTCCATGTATACTTCATCGAACGAATGCAGAACACAGCGTTCATTCTGTGCATCCCGACTCGACATATCTGTTCAAGAATGCAGCCGACTTTGTTTGAATATATGGACTGCTTTTCAACGATCTGGTGGATGTCCTTGCAAGCATATATAAACCACCATCCAGATCTTGATACCACCTTTATCAATCTAACAATACCTGATCCTCATATCTTGTCCAATAAATCCATCTTCACCACCACCATGTCACCCGCTTTATCCTACCCTAGCCCTCCACTGGGGCAACAATTCTCCCAGCCTGATGCGCTCCAGAAGTACCTCTGCACGTGCACCACGGATATCAACAAGATACATGGAAGACACACGCCCTTGATGCTTGCCGTGCAAGCCGGGTACCATGCGGCGGTGGATCTCCTGTTGGAGTATGATGATCTTCGTGCTTCTCGATGCAATGCTTACGGTCAGACTGCGCTGTCGATGGCCATCACGCAGGGCAGCGTGTCAATCGTACGACAGCTGCTCCGCCGCAAAGATATCGAGTTCTACAGCCCCGATCGAAAGGTCCAGCAGCCACTTCTAGTGGCTTTAGAATATCAACAGTATGAGATTTTGGAAATACTCTTGCGGGATCCTCGGGCCAAGATCAATCGGAAGAATCATCGCGGCCAAACCATCCTGCACCTGGCTGTGATCTACGGAGACCTTAGCGCTGCTGCAACCCTTGCGAGAGAGGAGCTGATTGATGTCGATTGTCCCGATCATCGGGGGGAGACGCCCCTCATGTTGGCTGCGAAGCTCCATGCCTGCGATCAGCCTAACAACGTCGAGATCCACGAGTGTCTGCTCTCGAGGTCCAAAGTTAGGGTCGATCAAGATCGAGGGTCAATCTATTTTTCACATGCCGTGAAGACTTTCGATACCGAGCTGATCGAGGACCTCGGCTTTGTTTGAATAAACGTTGTCAGGTATAGAAGGAATCACTCCGTTGGCTCGAGTGAGAAAGCAATTTGCGACCGTCAGAACTCGGTTCCCTCTAACGTGCGTGCCACGATGCATGTCACATCCCTGCTCCGAGCATGTGCGAAGGGCAATGATGAGTTAAAGGTTCAGGCCAGGCAGGCCATGACACATGAGCCACCGAAAGATTGTTCTTGATATGTAACTTATTCCCAACTATCAGGTGTCTAATCTAAGCGCATACATTTTATGGGCAGCATATGTACGAGAGCTCGCTGTTAGGATCAAATTTAGAGAGAGACAAGGATCTAGAGCTAGCTTGTAAGCCCGGTCAAGGATGAAGTTCCAAGGCTCCTGGTCCAGGATGTTACATCGATAGTGGGTCTTGCGCCACATGGAAATTCTAGAAAGTGATCGACGCTTTTCCAGAGGACAGGCTGGCGTTTGGTTGGTCAGGCGCGGTGGGGTTGTGAGTCATGATGGACTGCAGATGCCTTGCCAATCAAGGTTGTTGGAAACAGGAGCGCAGCGGGTCCGTGGCCGGTAAGTTTGAGCGGTAGGAGCAGGGCCCGCAGATCAGCCAAAGTCTTGCCCGGGTAAAGGTACTCGTGAAGTCTCAGGTTTTGTCCTGCCAAGCGCGTCGATTACAGAGATGAGCAAGAAGATACTTTGTAGTATTCGCACCAATTAATTGACCTTTCATCAAGAATTTACCAATGGCTAAAGTATCGTCAGGAATAGGGTGCATAAGATGACAGGTGGAAAGTGGGACGGCGAGATCGAAATGATCGGCCGGCACCTTAAACCTTAAATAGCACGTGGGTTGGTCTCGAGGTCCAGTCCTTCGTGCATCTTGCTACACACCAATGTTTGGTTTCTCAGAGTCTGGCAAAAACAAGGACAACTGCGTTGCAGCAGCTCATGGTCGATGCGCGACAATAAGGGAAATGGTACCTATGATCGCACTTGCATGGCCATTGCGTCTAGCCCTCTTTGAATGCTGTATTGCAATACCTCTGTCGCAACTTGCAATGCAACACAATTTGATTGCCACAGCGATCATATCCATGGATTCCATTCCATCAATTCTGGTACCCAGTCGCCAATGTAACCCATCGCGAGAAATGAACAGTCTACATGATCGGTGTGATGGAACCAAGGGCTGGTCCCCCTGGCAACATGAGACCAACCACGGATCCATTGAAGGTTCGTCTTCTGGCCAAAGAGCTCCAAGTAACTTTCCAATGCCCTCGCAAATCAGTGGCCGTTCCTATGGATTTGCGCAGGGGGTTTCTGTGAAGAGACGTAGCCGACTTGACATAGAAGGCGCGAGATTTCCGGCCCAAAAAAAATCAGGACTTTCCTCCTCATACTCCCGTGTGTCATGGTTTCCATCTCTTGTCTGCAGGCTTGGGGGTCTCCGTGGCCACGGGTCCGCAGTACAAGCTCTGCGTCACCAAACATGCTTCGCAGGACGGGCTCTGCGATACCAACTGTTCCCCGCAGGACGGGCTCTGCGATATCAACTGTTCCCCGCAGGACGGGCTCTGCGTTATCAACTGTTCCCCGCAGGATAGGCTCTGCGATATCAACTGTTCCCCGCAGGACGGGCTCTGCGACACCAACTGTTCCTCGCAGGAGACCGCTGCGTTACCAAGTTCTCTGCAGGAGACCGCTGCGTTACCAAGTTCTCTGCAGGAGACCGCTGCATCACCAAGTTCTCTGCAGGAGACCGCTGCATCACCAAGTTCTCCGCAGGGGACCGCTGCGATACCAAGGTGCTCCGCAGTACTGACTCTGCGTCATCAAATCGTGCTCCGCAGGGGGACGTTGCGAAACCAAGGAACTCTAGCCAAGTGCAGGCACCTCTACGTGGTGCTAGGGACCAGTATTCAATGCTCGCTCTGCAATTGAAGAAGCCAAGACCTGCGCCAACATCGATGTTTCACCTTTGTAGGCTCGGGCCACGGGCGAAGAGTCTGGCATGGCCATGAGAGCCCATTCCGATGCCTGTTTCAACTTCAAGATAGCATTGAATAGAGAATGAATAAACCCAGCATATTGCTGTTCCTGATTCCGCCGTGCATATTAGTATTACGTCCAGAACCTGATTTCCCAGGATATATATACACACGTAGAGGATGTATACACACACGTACAGGCCGGTCAGCTCGGTCAAAGACCATCAGACTTGGGCAAGGAAGCATTATCCACGTCTATCGCACAGGTCAGGAAAACTGAGATGACTGTTGAGGTTGGCGTTGGTGGTGAAGGGGTAGATGCGGTGATCGATAGTCCCTGGTGGCAAGCAGTTTGTAATGATGATAGTTGAC